ATCTATACCAAATTAATTTTAAAATAAAAGACTGGCCATCAAATGAAATATGCTATAAACTGACCAGCAGTTCTTCTGTTTAATTCCCAAAGGATACAGATAAGAACTGCTTGATCAGATATGCTCTAACAGAAATGATTGAGACAGCTAGCCTTCCTACACTGAACTCATTAATTAATCTTTAACTGGATGCATGTCCACTCATTACTCCCAAGGGATGAATGGATCTGCGCTATCTGCTTTGTAGTGCAATTAAAATGCATATTTATGTCATACTGAAATTAGATTTGAAAACAAAGATTTTTTTTTCAATTTGTTACAAAGATTTATAAAAAGAAAAAAAATGTAATCTTGATGTAACATTTTTAATAAGGTTTCTGCTTGACTCTTAGATTTGTAGGGACTATCTACCATAATTAAAACTTTTTTTTGAAATACTTGATTTTTTTTTAGACTCAATGTCAGACTGGTTTTAAGCTGCAATTCATATGGAGAACCGGCATGCTAATTCCAATATCACCCCCCCCCCCTTCCGAGTATAATTAGTTTTAATTAATTAGTTTAATGTAAGATATCAAATTAGTTTATAATACATATAATACAATATCAAATTAGTTTTAATTACTTTTCACCAAATTCATTTTAAAAGTTAGGCTAGCCCACAAAAACTATGTAATCCAACATGGCTGATTCCTCTGCCCAATTCCCAAGAGATATAGATAACACCTGCTTGATCAGAGATGCTCTACCAGTTAGCTCCTCACACTAAACTCATTAATTTCTCTCTAATTTGACATGCAATTTTCTGTTATCAAAATTCTCCTTGACCAGTGCTTGATAATTACACCCATGGGAGAGGTTGAATTTCTCTTGTAACATTATATTTGTTATAGATTGCTGTAAAGTATATAATGAAAAAAAAAAGTATTTTCTTGATTTTAACATTTTTTTAATAAGAATACTGCAACACTTTTACATTTTTTGGGATTGTGTAATATAATAGTAAAAAGACAGTTTTTTTTTAAATTTCACTTAAATTAAAGGTCACAGTGACCTTGAAATAGGTCGCGACACACCTTCTACCTAAGATGCATAAACTGGCCAAGTTTGATGATTCTAAGTCTAATAGTTTTCTAGTTATGAGCCGGACAGGATTTTTCCATATTTGGCCATAGCATCTTAATTAAAGGTCAGAACGACCTACTTTTTGTGCGCGACACACCATCTACCCAAGAAGTATCAGCTGACAAAGTTTGATCATCCTAGGCCTAATAGTATTAAAGTTATGAGCCGGACACGAGAAAAGCTAACAGACAGACAGACGGACGGACATGAACGCCATAACATAATACGTCCCGTCTAAAGACGGGCGTATAAAAAGGAAACTATAAATTATCAGAAAAGTTCATTAAAACTCTGGCTCACGTGTGCTAGAATCAAATAAGTCATGATATAGTCAAATTGTAAAATTCAAGGGTCCAAAACAGGATTTCTATTCCATACTTCTTCAGCATTTTTAATTCCCACTTCTTGTGGAGTGACTGCTGTTACTGGCTAATCGGACCAGTTTAATCTCATCCTATTATTGATAACACTTTTCATATCTTCCGTACAAAGCAATACAAAAGAAACGAACAATAAAATGAATACATAATGATTTTAATATTTCAAAATAAAACTCCTTGTACGAGTCCATTGGCATAAATAGGTCAAACTTCAATGACCAAATGTATATAAACATATTTATACAGAGATTCCTCTCTCCATGATTGTACATCGTCATCAACCAATGAAACATGATTATAAATCCGGCCAATGAAAAACTAACTTTAGTTGATTAACCTTTCGTTCCATCCATTCGCAAGATTATGAAGGGCACAGCCAATCAAATGAAAGATATGCTACACTGTCCTATGAACTGACACCATGATTTATATAATAAGTAACAAAATATAATAAAGTGGATTTAAAAAGCAATACTGAAAACTTTTGTCATGGATAGCATGAGGTCACGTGCTTTCCAGAGTCACGTGATCTCAATTTAATTAAAAAAAATTGATACGAATATTCAATAACTTAAGCCGTTTTCCCGGCAAGAACGTGTTGATCCATCAACAATTAAAACATGATTGATCAGTATAAATGGGTTACTTTTTTCGTTGGGACCTTAATACGACAATCGTTTATCACAGAAATACAAGCTCCCTGAAAATGTTCGTTGGTTGGCTGTAGTATTGATAGCAGATTGAGTCTTTGGCACGTTGCTTTGTATCATATCTATACCCCATAAGGCACTCGTGGTTTAAAGTGTAATGTATTCTTTTCAGTAAAAGTTTAGTTTATCGTGAGGATTAACACTATGTAGATTAAATACTGAAGTTGAGTATTAAGCCATAAAAACTAACAAAGAAACGTCAATATATGTAAAGTTATGAATTAGTGTTAAATCATGCCAAGGAAGTAATATTTCTGGAATACATGAAAAAAAAAAGGTTTAAAAAGTTAACCCAATTTTTCATTCTAAATACAAGTTTGTATTTTTTTTTGTTTTTTGTTGATTTTTTTGTGTCTACATGGGTGTTTAACACGTTAAGAAGATGCTGCTATTGTTACTAAAGAATTTAAAATGTGTATCCAAAATCAATTTGTAATATAGGCATTAGTTTAATCAGGCTTACTATCTCGTCCTTTTAAATCTGCTGACCCTTGACCCACCGTGAATCTTTTTTTTTGATTGGGTCCAGATTTCTTTGGACGAACTATACTCCACCAATGAGCTTTGCATGCATTGTTACTATAGTAACAGAAACACAACAGCAAAGTATATAAATGGTTATATTTAGTAACGAAACGATGCAGTGTTAAAATAATGATTCATATCCAGTGGTTAGTATCAACTGCAAAGATGATTACTTTTTCAAACCTTTATTACTAGTGAACAGAAAAAAAAAATATAGTACAATAATATGCAAAAAGACAACAAATGCAATTTAAGTAGCAGTTAGGTTAATTCGCCGTTTATATGTGTTTATACTATAGGCAAAAGACTTGGAATCTATCATACAATATAACAGTGAAGGATTATACAGAATATAGGAAGAAAACTTACCGAAGCTTACATGTAGTCAATCTCACTATATGGGAGTATTTCCAATAACAGTTTTGGTGGGGAAGCTCGAGTTAGTGGGTAAATGAGGGATGAGTTGATAAGAATTTGAGATTCATTAAGTACCTTGTGAGAAAATTTCTAACAACTACAGGCGAATCATGCGGAACTATCCATATTAAACAGCAGCAGTAATGGACAATACATTGTTAATTATTGCTTTGGTGGGAAGAAGTTTTCTGTTGAGTTCACAAGAGGTAAAATAAATATTGCAGACTTTCCAAAAATATATGTAAATGATCTTTTTTCATGGAAATTTTTACCATCAGAAGTGAAGAGTATGAGAAACAAAAAACTTCTTCGAGATTGCAACAACAGAATATTATGCTGATGCACCATGATTGGTAAACATAAAAATCTGGATAGCCAACAGTGTGTTATAAACAAACCTATATACATTACTTCATTTTCAAAACCAAGTGTTTCAGATCTTAACAAGCAGCAAAATCATCAAAATAAGTTCTAAATGATTTTTCTATGCATATCTATTATCACTTCCTTCATATTTAACTCCAAAAAGAAATAATTTGAAATTTCTTGGAGACTGAAATTTTCAAAAATAATAATAATCTGGATAGATGTACTATGCATTTCCCATGAGATTCAACCAAAATGATTAATCTGCTATGATAAGAAAATTTTCTGAGAGCTTCTGAGAGCTTAAAATGACTTACACTGAGCATAAAAATGACCCATTGACTAAAAAAAAGATTATTGAAAATACATCAAGTTCGTTTTTTGTATAGTGCTAGTACAAATTATGTATCAATCTGAAAAAGTTTTTTCAACGATTAAATTCTAAACACAGTCTACCCGTAGCTTTTCGTCAAACTTTACACATGCTGCTTTTTGGTGACTTGGAGGGGGGAAATTTTAACTACTTTTGAATTCCAAAGCACAAAAAGTTAGGCCTAAATTTCACAGCAACTCAAAACAAGATGATTTTGGTAAAAAAAAAAAAAAGAAAGAAAAAAAAAACCTGCCTCTCAAAAAGATTGATCAGTTGTTACATGACTGATTAAAGTACCTTTTCTGGCATTCTAGCATGAAAATTACTACTGTCTAATGGAAGAAAAAATAAACATGTCCAAATCACCCAGACATGACACAACCACTGTTACAAATATGGTTAATATTAGAATACAAAAGTGCCTTTCATTGCTCTCCTAAAACCACGTACAATTTAGAGGGAGTTTGAGAAAATGCTGCATAGCTACTATTATAATATAATCATCAACAATTAGTATCTACAAAAATATGTACAGTGCAAAAAGAGGTTTTCGAGTTTTGTACAAAAATTTCTTAATTTCTCTTCCCTGTGTTTTGTGAACGCATCATTTTTAAGTAAAATTGGCCGCAGTATCCGTGTTGGGGATATTTAACAAGTGATGTAGGTACAAAAATAATTCAAAATGCAAAATTATAAAGGTGATATGAACGCTGTCCATGTTTGGCAAAAAATAACAAGTGCACAAAAATATAGTAATACTTACAAAATAAGTCTGTTCTCGATGAACATGATATGTTAAACACAGGGAAAACTCGCACACACTAACAGAAAAAGTGAAAGAATTTGGTCTGAGAATTCTTACTAGTAAATAAGGCAATGGACACCAAATCACTCGCACAAAAGCTTTAAAGGCTCTTAGCAACAGAAGAGTGAGAGATCCACCAACAAAAAAAAAATAATGGATCCTTCACCCAAGACTGTGCAGAAAATTAAATCTCAGCATTTTTTAAATATGCAAAAAGGTGCTACAATTCTACCATATCAACTAACGAAACCTTGGAAATGCATCTTCAGACAAAATGTATAGCATTATCAGTATCTTACCATGATAGCCTCATTGAAAAAAAATAATAATTTGATTTTAAGCTCATTTGTTCATTAAAACTTAAAACATTATGCTTACAAAACATATAATATAAACTCAGATATCAATAAAATATAATATCAATGTATGAATATTGATAAGTCTAGGGCCTTTTCTTGCAAGATATATTTCCAAGATTCTTCATCAGCACAAATTGTTAAGTACTTGTATACCTGTCATTAATGCTAGCCACACTTAATTTTGTTCTATACTGAGAGTTAAGAGTATGTATGATAGTACAAATTGTGAAAACAGATTGGGAGGTATAAATTATTCTTTACAGACAGTGTTTTATATGTATAATACAAACTGTTAATCTCATCTAAATTCTTGATGTGAAAGGCATGTAAAAAAAAGTTAATTTTCAATAATGAAAAAAATAAATGACATAGCATATTCCTTGTTGCACACCAATGAACATTCATTAACAACAAAAAAAGATACATAAACAATGTTAGTCTACATTAGTTCTGAAGAGTATAAATTGTCAGGCACTTAGTTTTTTTCTACATGATTTTTATTATTGGCACAAGGACGGTTCTCAGTTGACCTCATTTCAACCTCAATTTCACAAAATAAGTGTTCAAAAACACTTTGATCCATTTTCAAAATTAGACCTTTAGTTTTAAAAAATAAACACAACTCACACTTTCTCAATGATCCAAATGAAGTCAAAAAAATTTTCTGCCAGAACATATATAGATATATATATAATTTTATAAATATAAGGCATGTTAGTGGTTGCAGTTTTGCTAGGAAGGCAGCCTTTGTATAAAATCCAGCAATATTTTTTTTTGTTGGATAATTCCCACACACCAAGATGTCAGCTTTGTTTTATTGTGAGTAGAACTTCATGGACGACAATGTTAGGTGCCGTGCGCTGCTGCCTTCAGTAGGCCCCTGATCCAAAGTGTTTTTTTTGTAGGTCTTTGTTCTTTTTCAAGTGTTCTGGTGGGTTTGAGTTAGTTTCGTAGGCACAGCTGAGAGTTAGGTGAAAATAAAAAAAGAAAAGAAAAAAATGTTAGTTCATACTGCTACCATATATTGCATCATTCTCATACTCAAGTATTTTAGATATATTATCATCTTGTAAACCATTTGGGTGAAAAACAGCCATTACTAGTCACAGCAGATTAAAGTGTGCACATTTGGTCAAAGAACTCTTTTTCTGACATGCAATTAAAAGATTGGTTAACATTACTGAATATTATATCATGCTACTTTGCAATTAAAGTTACAAACAGGAAAAAGTTATAAAAACATTTTTAGTTGCCTTTATAATTTTAAATGTTTATTTTTTAGATCTAAAGCAGTAAGAACACAGAGTTAAGCAAATTGCAATACTTTTAGAATATAACAAAGATGAAGTGAGATTCACATGATTGAACTTCAAGGAGAGAAAATGTCTTTATTTTCTTCCAGGAAAGCCCAAAGAAAGAGGCTTTAGAACTCTTTTTGCTTTGGAGGTCCATTTAGTGTTACAATTATGGCTGGTTACTGCACGACTTAGATCTGCTTGGTTAGTAACTGGCTGTATTAGTCTGTATGATACATATGATACAAAGCCTAATAAACAGTAATTAATAATAACGAGAGTTGAAGAGGCTACAAAGTGCGATCTACTGATAATCCAAGAGTACATGATAATGAGAGATGCCACGAGTGCGTTTAAGCCGTCACTGTACCATTATTGAGAGCCCAGGTCACATTGTATTATCTATTATTGGGGGGAGGACCATGTTAGAGGGTGGGGGATTACACTACCCCTGCAAATTCTGCTCCATTGCTCACGGACATCATCTACTCACACCAAAGAAACACAATTGTTCTTATGCTGCGTTTTTACATTTTTACACCACACAAATTTTAACTACCAAGTGTCTTTTGCTATCCCTGAAGCCCAAGCAAAGAAAAGATTAAAGTTGGCTATAGCAACATTTGTTCCAGAAAAATCTTAAGCAGTCATGAAAATTTTTTTTTTATTTTTCACTTTTTGTCACTTGCAATCCTCAATACGTTGTAGTGAGCATTTTTCAATGCAATGTCAATGACCTCTGAATTGTAAACTGGTGTAGAAGAACTCGGAACAAAAACTTCTGAAAGGTTCATTTTATTTTCGAACATTATAAATAAAACAATAATTGACACTATGAAATAAATAATCTTTTGACATTCTAACCGATCATTAATAAATATCATTGCGGACTGTCCTTTTCGTTCAATGTTTATATAGAAACCTTCTTTTTCAGCATCAATTGCAACGTTTTGGCATTTCTTACAAATAAATATTTATCAAGCACAAAAAAAAAAAAAATCATAATCTAGCACTAACGATATTGGGCTTTATAAACCCAAACTAAGACATAACAAATAAGCAGGAGGCAAAAGTCAACAAAAAAATGTTTTCTATGAATTGCAGCACTTTACAAAACCCTCCAAAACTTGCCTGAGATAGTACGCTGGAGATATACAAATAAATTATGGAATGATTGTTCATCGCAATACAATATTATGCTTTGTATTTCGGCTTTGGCATCACATTTTCATACGAAATATGGGACTATCATAAATAAGATTGGGCATCTCTCTATCCCTGCACTTATACATAACTACATAAAAAAAAAAATCCCGATTCATTTCAAATGAACAAATATAGTTGTTTTTCTACACCTGTAATAAAAGTATTATGGACAAAATATTTCATGACATATCATCGCATTTAAAAATTGCATCACACAATATCTATTCAAACCCTACAATAAAATGACCTACAAGAAAAAATGGATCATAAATGATATAAATGATACCCCACAAACATTTGGGATGGTCTGGACTCTTATTTGAATGAAAGATCACTCTACATAAAAATTGTTAATCAATGTCGAACTTATATATCTCTATAAACCCGATATGTCTAATTCTTTGGATATGTTGAAATAAATTGGCTGTTCCTATCCCAATGTCTAAAATCTCATCCTCAGCTCTCAAGATGTTTTTGAGATTTTTGTCCGACTTGTAAGTTAGAGCTACTGAGGGTTGACTGCACACGAAATCTTCCTATGATATTCCCAAGTCTTGACTATTACCAGGAAAATGCTCTCTTATTATAATTGTTAGCAACAAGGGGTTATTTTTTTCAGACAGTTGGTTATTTACTCCCAAAACACCACCATGGCATCAAAAGTGAGAAATAAAAATCTTTAAAAGAATAAGTTTTTTTGGAGGGTTAGTTCATCCAATGAAGTTTAAATAGCACTAAAAGGAACATATTAGGTTACAATTAACAAGACCAACATTTATACACTGATCAAAAATGCTCTTTTATTGCACAACTTGTATGTGAACACTTTTCAAATATATAAATAAAAAAAAAATTGTTGAGGTCTTTGACATTTGCATTTCCCTGGTCATAGCCAATCTTGTACAATTTTATCTCAAAATATCTCGAAACAAAAAAAAAAAAAAGATATGTTTAATGGCGAGCTTTTTATATCACACTTCCACTTATTAAAGGTTAAATGAGTTAATTAATTAATCAAGACAAGCTCAAAATTGGCAAATTTTAGTAAATTATTTGTGCTATACAATTAATTTTAGTTGAGATAGATTTTTATCTCAAGGACCACAATGATTGAGAAACATTTATTAGATCTCTCATTCAAATTAGGACGTTCCCAGACCTTACTTAAATAATCAAGGGTCAAATCAAACAAAGGAAAAGCCCTGATACAGCCTCGAGGTTTCTCAAAATACGTACATTTACAAACCATTCAAGTTAGAACTGAAAAACAAGTGGATAAAGTGTTATCAAATGAAAATTTTAATTATAATCGAGAATTCTTCTCGATAAGCGTAAATTTGTAACCGGGAGACTGTATCACAAGAAGGAGAAAATAGAAGAGAGACGGGACTAACCTTCCTACTAAATTATGGAAGGGCTACCCTAGTATAGGGGTGTGTCCTTACGCTGTCCAGGGTTCTGCGGATCTTAGGCACAGCACCTGCAATAGCTAGATACATTAAAACCTATACCAACATAGGCATCGCTTCCAAGGGGAAGCAACCCCAGACAAATCAGCCTGAAGGACAATACTAGGTATAGTCATCATCAAATAGGTTCTTTTCACTTAAACTTATCATTCATAAACTGCATTCCAAAATTTTTGCTTACAATCTTTTCTCTATCATATTAAAACTTCTTGTAAGTGTATGTAACACACCTTTTCTCCTCAATTTCCTATAGAAGGATCTATTATAGATGTGTAACCTTTCATAATGTTTTTTTCTATCAATCAATATTTAAGCCATTAATCACATTTTTTAAAGAACTCTAAATATGCGCCCAACCATGACTATCCCCACCCTCCATTCCCCCATTTTTTTTCCATTCCTAGGACACTTGTCCAAATCCATATGAAAAGATATAGTCAGAATATAATGTACATGTGTATGTTTCTACTCATGTTATTGATTGCGTCCTGATTGTGCAAAATATTGCTTCTAAAAATACAACAAAAATTTGATTTCTTGTATAAAACGAAAACAAAAAACTAGTAAATATATATACCAAAAATACCAAAATGCTTGAAAGACATCTGGTCTTATACGTAAAGCTTTGAAAGCACCTTTTTTGAAAAGGGCTATCTAATTAATTTAATGTGTTAATTCCAGAAACAGTTAATTACTTGTGGGGGTTACTAAATGTTAATTAAAATGTAGTAATTAAAAAATCAATTGCTTAACAAAAAATATTACATATTACATGCCAAAAAAAACTTAATAATGTCTTATTCATTTGCAAATGAATAAGCACGAAAAAAAAGAAAACCTATTAAGAGATTATGATTTTTTTAAAAGTGTGAAATCAGTACATCAATGGAAAATCAACCCTTAGAGACGTGAAGAGGAATAAAATTAACACAAGCTTCCAAAATCAAAATTAATACAACATGAAAGAAGACGGAAAATAAATTTGTCAATAAGCAATCACTACGAAAAAAAGTCTCATTCATTCACTCCAAAATAAAAACTCAAATAATAATGAATTATCCTACATACAGTTCAACAGCTGACGCAGGTAAATACAGGGCATTTCTCAGTTTGCGTTGTTTTTTAAATTTCATTTATTTAATATCTTGAAGCCACCACCAAATCAAGTAGAAAAATCATCGATTAAATCATCTATTAAATCATTAATAATCTAGTTCTGTTTGGTTAACGAGTGAGCAGTGTTTTGATCACATACAAACAGTGTGTGTCTTAGATTTTTACTTCTCCACTATATGCACTGAAGGTCGTCGACTTTCCTAATTATTTACCTGTTAACAATCAAAATTAGAATACTTTGTTTTAACTTTCCTATTTTCAATATCAGTTTTAAATATTTCTCAATTTCCTTTACGAGTCTAAATTTTTTAAATTGAAAATTCCATCTGAAAACATTACTTTGCCCTCCCATATTAGTGATTTTGAATATTTCTATAAAATAATGGAAATATTAAATTCCTACAGGTTATAATTTTTTTCTTTCCTAAGAGTTACGCCCCTTTGCTCATTAAGTCTATCAAAAATGTGTTATTATATAATGAGCTAAAACCTAACAGGTATTCATCATCACCTACCCTATGAATCCATTAACACAGGCTAGCATGAAATAAAACAACATCTTATTTACAAACTATCATACTCTAAACAAGTGGCTATACATAGAAGTACATAATAATATTATGTGCATCCGTGTCCATTTCACAGTTCACAATTTGTCATTGGAAACAATGGAATGTTCAATGAAAAGTAAATCATGAGGGAAGAAATAAAAAAATTATAATTACATAAATCTTAAATCATTTTTCGACTAAAATAAGTATATGTATATATAACGAAAAAATAGATAAAAACAAGGAGATATTAAAAGTCAACAAGTTCTGTACAAAAAAAAAAAAATTATCATAAGAGACTCTTATTTTTCTCTCTTTTAAATAATTGGGCACAAATATGTCTTTGATTGTATGTACTTGCACAAAAATAGCTCTAATGTTTAATAAAAATTCTATTATGATGCAAAAAAAAAAAGTTTGATTCATTTCTCTTGTATCCTACACGATGTTTTATCGCACAGCAGAGAAATTCAACATACCGGCTGCCGTCTGCTCAAAAGAGGTGGGGTACTCAACAATGGCTGCCGTTGGCTGTAGGGAGTAGGGGTATTCGTAAGGATTGTACACCAGCCCTGTTCCCGCCGTATCTGTAGGGGACACCAAGGGGGGTGGGTTCATCATGGATGCTGAGCTAGTGGCAACCTGAGGCATTCTTGGAGCCAGAATGAGGGGGGCACCTGCTGGGGTGGGAGAACGAAGATGAGTGGCTGCGGTGATCCCCGCTGTCAGGGGTGAAGCTGCTGTCAGAAAGCGTGGGGCCTCTGCAAGAGCAAGATCTACTCGAAATAAATTATGTTATCCAGCTATCCATGTAGTCTCTTTTTTTAACCTAGCTAGTAAAATTAGAGGTTTCTTTACTATAGAAAGCAATTTATATGTGAATTAGATCCTTATAAAACAATTTTATCTTTTATTTTCTTGAAAGGCACTAAAATCACTTTAAAATGCATATATTTTTCTTGCATAAATATACATTTTTACAAGTGAAATCAACTAAATTTATGAAAAATAAAAAATTATTATAACAATTTACTACTCCTTGTTAGTTATGTTATCCAATAAAATTACAATGGGTATGTTAAAGTTTTCTAAAGACCTGGAGCAGACAGAATTATCGATTCCGTTAAATACCCAATCTATATATTGTGGGTTAAGAGCCCTGTAAATATTGAGAAAAAATGCAGTATGTACTTGCTATACACAAATATGCTGAATGTCACCATATGAGCATACTGTATATATAATTATATTTTCCTTCCATTTTTTATAATATTGGTATTTTCTTTATTTTTTTCAATGCATCTAACATTACTTTGCTGTTAGCTTTTTCACATGAAGTTGTGCTGCTCAAGTCAAGGGAAAATAATCAAGTTATTAACAGCATAAATTAGAAATTAATATCAAATTGTCTTTTTTTTTTTGATGAGCAACCTGATTTATTTCCCCTGGACACTAAGCCGCAAACAACCAAATATATTCCACTCCATTAAACATCCTTTAAATAAAGGCAGTAGTTGGATAATTCCTTTATGCAATCATAGTCATTTAATAGCTTTAGAATTTTTTCCAGATTAGAGGAGATTTCCCTTTTGAAGATTTTTTTTTCTTTTTTCAAAATCTGGTCCACTATATTTTTTTTCTAAATCAATTTTTTTTCAATAATAATTCATTCTCCAAGGGATGCAAAAGGAGTGTTTGTCTATTGTAAGGTACTGTACAGGTATACGATAATACCTGAAGAAGTCTTGAGTATGCTCTTATGGTCGATTCCACTGGCATCGAATTGACCCAACATTTGCATGGTTTGAAGTTGTGCATTCCAGGGTAGTCCAAAGGCATCTTGAAAAAGGTGCAAAAAAAACACAAGAGTCATTAAACCAGCTAGCACACAACCCCATCATCATCAACTGCTGGTTCCCCTACTGCTGAACTGGTTCCAAGTTTTACCGATAGATGACTAATCCAAAGATCTTCACTTAGACCAAAACAAGTGTAATAAATTTAAGGAAATCATTTTGCAATTTAAAACAGTTTTGAAATTTAAAATGAAAAAAAATCTGGGTTTCTGATTGTATGATAAAATTCATGATACCCCCCCCCCTTTTTTTTATTAATTCATTTTAATTCAGTAATTCTTCTAGTCATACATGTATTAGTGAATACTCAAGGGGAACCAGGGCACAGCAGTATAGGACCCTACACAGCTTCATCAGAAAGCTCAATTCTAGTTAAAAAGTGAAACAATTTGCAACATTCAAATGCAACCTCAAAACTTTTCCCATCATCATTGCAAATTCTTTCTTTGGGAATACTCAAAGCAATTTAACTCACTTTCAAAAAAAAAAAAAAAAAGAAGAAATGTAAACATTTTAATGGAAGGAGGCAAAAATCCAGAATCAATTCAAATGTTAGCACCAATAAAAACACATCTAGAGTGGGACTTTTTCAAAGACGTTTCAGAAAAATAGTCATGCTTGTTTATATACAACAAGGTCAAACTGATTAACTACACCTGGCATAGCATGCAGCTTATATTACCCTAAATGTCATATTGTTAACATAAATATGTATTATCAAAGATATAAATAGAAGTCAGTGACTGGTCTATGGTAGAAAAGGAGGGAACAAGAATATATATATGTCAATATCTTTAATTGTAGATACTGTGATTTTATTAATTTTTATAAGGTATGATTTTTATATTAAAAAATAATACAATTTCATTGATTTGTAAATTCTGTATAGCAACCTAATTGTCATATTCTATCATTAGAAAAAATGTAGTTCACTGTTCACTTTGGTTCATTATTTTGCCCAATGACAAATAGGCTACATCAATTGGTGTTCAACAAAAAATAATAAAACCACAGTAACGTATCCAAATCCCCAACAAACAAGCCAATGCAAATTTTACTATTAACATTCCATCATAGGAGATATGGAAATATTCACTAATTCATTAAAATTTTGTTGTTTTTTTTTTAAAATTCAACCTTCCCTCATCTTCTATTGGACCTAAGCCTCTCTAAATGTATAAACAAATGTGTAGAATTTCCCAGCTGTGATCGTGAAGGAGACTATATATATAAAAAATATTGGAGAGCTAAAAAAAAAAGTAAAGTCATAAAACAGGTTACAACAAGCAAAATCATGTGTCTGAAATATTTTAAATGAACACTGGAACTATCTGAATAATTAAAAGCCACTGAAAAAAGAAATAACTTAGGCTTCAAGGAAGGGACTTTTCTTTTGTCTAGAGTTAGCTTGTATGAAAGCTTTATTAACCCAAATTTTTATGAATATTTCAAGATAAAATCAAAATGAGGATCCAAAAAATTTTTATGCAGTAATGTGATGCCTATTTTGTAGTAAGAGTTATTTCCCTTACACTGCTTGTATCACACAATATTGACAAGTTTAATTTAGGTAGCAGGTACCTTGTTTTCCCATTAAATACTCATATATATATAAATATACACCAGTACCTACACCAACATGCACAGATAATTACACTATCTCCCCTCTCTGAAGCCTTCAGCTTATGGTGATACTAAGATGAGAATTTTTCATGTCACAAAAACTTCTCAATTAACTTGCATGAAGATAAAATTTGGCAGCTTTCTTTTCTCTGTAAACAAAGAAAGTCTGCGGTTTCTGACACATAGTTCAGACAAATGGCTACTAAATACAATGTTCTGCTTAAAAAAAAATCCCCTTCTTAATTTCATGAATTTGCAACCTTATCAAATTCTCATCTCAGCACCATCATATACAAAGAAAAAAAGATTTTACAGGGTGATAAAATAAAGAAGCATCTATCATGCATTGACTACTATAAGTACAGTGTGACCCATTCCATCAGGTGTGGTGGCCCTCTCCAAGGGACTGAGGAAAACTCCTTAAGCCAAAGAAAAAAACACCAATGCAAAATAAAGAATAAACACAGACAGCCAAGGGATAAAAAGGTAAAAAACATAAAGCTATAAACACTGCACACAGAACTGGCATGGGTTGCGAGTGGGCGCCGCCGGGAGGCGGGACTTACGAGAAGAGGCAGATTGACCGCCTGGGCCGGCCTGGGAAGTGGCCGGTTTAGATGTGTCCCTATACGTTCCGTTGATGATAGCCAGTTCCATCAGCTGACGTTTCTTAAGATCATCCTCGCCATCGGGCTGTAAAAAAGAGTCGCAAACACGTCAACATTCACACGTTAGTAGTTACACTTTTGTTACGTTAGCCTGTCTGAGACAGGGCTGAGACTTACGAGCTAGAGGGATTGCTTTGGAATCGCGATATGTCCCATTCAAGATGGCCAGTTCCATCAATTGCATTTTCTTCAAATCATCCTCTCCTTCCGGCTGAAAAAAGGCAACCAAATTCTCTATCTCTTACACTTATTGGGGAATCTTTTTTTTTAAAGGTTAGGCTGTTAGACCTGATCTGTGTATTAGTTAAATAAATGTAAATTTTTTGTGGTTATTAGACAGTGTGACAAAAGTGAAGCTTTATTATTCATTCTCATTTTTGTTGTTTTTATTTTTTAAAAAATTCAGACATCAACAATATTTTATTTATAGCTAAATAAAGGATAAACATAGGGATACAAGTCAATTAGTATGTTGTTACTTTTGCTTACTGCTGTTAAAGAAGAAAAAGAAATATGGTAAAATGTTTTAATAAAAATCACATTCTATTACTTGCTGCATAACCCCCTTGAAAATATTAAGCTTCAAGCAACAATTTTGCAATAGAAAAAGATCTTTGCATATACCCAGATGACCCATTTTAATTGTATTTTGAATAGTTCTGTTTATCTCTATAATTCTGACCTATCTATATAAGCCCAAGCTATGACAATGCTCCCTAGTCCTTTGATCAGCTGGTACCAACAAAATGATACAATCAAAAATATAGCTGGCAACAATCCCTTTATTTCCTTCATTGTATTTACAGATTAAATAAATGCATCAACAGTCCTAATGTGACAGGTAATGCGTTTTAAAAGGACAATGAACACTGCATAAAAAGGTCCCTAATTCGACTAAACCTTTCGGCTAACTCCGCAAACTAAAGAAAAATATGGTGGAAAATGATAAAAATCTAGTGTCGCCTTGGTACCAAACAAGCCTTAAATATGGTTTGGGGCTACAAACTGAATGACAATCTCCTATGATAATTATAGGCTTAAAGAAACAGAACAAGCGTGTGTTTTGATTTTTGAATATTTATTAATGGATGCCTTGTCCATACACGTTCCCTGACAGACTATGAAGACAAACGATGCAAATCAAATGCTGCCTTCATGCAATAAATACAAAAATAAATGCTGGAATTTATAAATGTGTAATGGTCATTAACACACCCTAACTTAATTGCTCCTTTTTATAATTATCATGCATGAACTCGGTACACCCTGTATCTGATCTAAACTGCATAATCAATATAAAGAGAGCAAAGGGACAAGTATATGGAAGGAATCATCACTGCTTATCTTAAGGCAAATAATTCATCAAACATCTATATGAAGCCTTTAGCTGATCAAAACTTGATAGAAAAAACTTCTTAATCTTTGGTTAAATTGATGACTTATTTTTCTGTACGGAGTACAGTGCATACTTTTGGGCCCTGTCAATCACTCGGGCTGTCACGATAGGTCATCTCTCTGTCATTTCTCCCATGAATTCCTCGGGAGGGCCTTTGATTGATTTTTACGAGAAGATTTGTCACCTTGTTGTGAAGACTTGACAGATGCAGTGCAAGGACAGGACTCATCAGAAAAAAAAGGTCTCAAGACCCAAATGTCAGATCTTAGAACACTTTCAAAGGAGACCTAGTTCTTTTAGAGTTGTCATATTTTGCCGCTGGGCTCTCACTGAAAGTTATGCACGGTAAACTGGAAAATGTAGAATGGTCAACATTTTCTTTTTTATTCCAGGCATGTCGATGCATGTTTACTGTTGAATCCATCAGTATTCAACCCCCTTTTTTCAATTTAAATAAAAAAAATTATTTTTATGAGCAATATTTGACTTGTGTTGTTTGTAAAGTCATTGGGAAAAATCAATTCATGAGAGCCACGCAGTGTTTACTTGTTTCTGGACAAACCAAATAATTCTATTTGAGTTTCTAATATTTGCCCAGAAAATTTTAATTTGTACAGTCTGGCAAAAGAAAATGAAATCTTGACATCATCACAAACCATGCATACCCAATGCACAGCAGTACCATTTCTGATGACCACTACAGATATTCCACTAAAGAATGGTAATTGTTTCCAAATAAAGTGTCCTGCTTTATTTTCTCTGAGGCTCACCTAACAAGCTGATTTTTCCACTGAAGTCAACAATTGCAATCGATTTCTTATGTCAACAAAGAAATAGTTACAAAAATCTCTTATGTCAACGGACAGTCTAACAAGGCAGCAGTTTTTCCTCCTGCAATGAAGCAGGGACCCTATCCACACAATGAAATCCATTCCCACCATTGTCCAGTACAAAAACACTAGACCAAACATTTTCCCCTGGTATTTGTACTGGTGGGCTTCACCAGTGACAACCTATTGTCTCCGAACAGAAAAAGAAAAACCTGTAACCCTACAAAAACATTTTTACTGCGGATGACATGTTTGGTCTTCATTGTTGGGACAATTTCTCTACGGGCCAGAGAACAAATTGAAACCCTGACTGTTCAGTCTAGCAAGCCACCTCCTGCTACGTTCATGTTTTCCTACACCTAAGTTGTGTTAATAATGGAGACCAACGATGGTCTCTAAAACGTTTCAACATCTCAGGGACGCACTCTAATGAGACCGTGCAAACTTTGGTTTGAATAATTATGAAATGTATATCATGACAGAAAATTTATCTTTTCTTGAGAAATAACAACACTATTTAGTGTTCTGCCATTCAGACTGGAAACTTGAGTCTAAAACTCGTGAAAGGTGTTTAAAGACCTTTAAACCGATTACCTCATCTCTTTACTCTCGACAATTTGGAGGGCTTATATTCTCCTTGTGAGTCTTTACAATGACAGAAATCTTGAATCAAGGTTATGCCATTCAACGGTACAACTTAATTCCTTTCGTATAATAATACAGTTACCAAAAATGGCTTAGAATTTCCAAATGTTTCTTAATCACAAGGAAAATCAGGCAAATTTGTGAAAACATCTATATATCTTCCTAATGTTTTTTAATGAAAATTTGAAAAGGAAGGAAATTTTACACAAGATTTCTATAGAAGTTTTCCTTTTGGATGTTAACTCTAATTGCAGGCTCTGTCCATTTATGATAACAATATAATGAATGCTGATAACAGATTAATAAGGAAAAGTTTCAGTTTTTCACTTCCTGAATCTAAGACTCGGTGCTCAAACATGAGTTTCCCTTTAGTGGGTTTCCGACCTCAATTAGAGAGATAGAGGAAATATTTCATTACAAAGCAGGAATTATAACCAGTGAATTTCCTTATCATCCTATACACTGACTGTCTCTACCACTTAGATTTTAATCTCTCCCGCCCTGCTCTTCTAATGAGGTCCATTTTTGAATTCTACACATTTTATTAAGCATATATTTTGACTGAATTGATATTATTGCTGCAAATTCGTAATAAATATTGCTTCAATACCCAAGGGCAAAATCTTTTAGAAACATTTTATAAATCAAATTTTTACACTCCATACACAGTATGTGTCACTAGAAAGAATTTTAAGCATTAATCTCCCTAAAAACATTCCTTAAAAATTAGACTACTCTACTTTTCAAACTGGTTAGTTTTATAATTCTTGCCCAAGGCCAAGCTAAGAAGTTCTTAAATCCATTTGGACGACCTAAACTAGCACAAGGTCCAGAACCCCTCACAGAGGCATACAATTTTTTTTCATTATCTGTCAATAATCTCTCATTGAATGCCGAGACCCAGTCCTAACTTGGCTGCAAGGTTTGCATGTTAAGACCCCATTAGCTGTTGTATGACAGAGCCATAGGACAAATCTCTCTGCTGTATATAGGGCTTCTCTAATATACACCAAATGCTGGTTTTAAATATGCGTGTAAAAACTATTCCTCGTAATCTGTGGGCTTATATTGGTGACCATTACACGATTACGTAGCCCTCTACTTTCTTTTTACTATATAATAGCTATAGTGTAGCAGTTTTATGAATTTAATGCAATTTTTATTTACACAATATATCCCAGTGGTGGTTATAATGTGAGTGATATGTCGTCTTGTTATGCCATAGTAATGGCCAAGTAAAGATGAAAGAACAGCAAAAGCTAGCTAAAGAAAAATTTGGCCAATCAGCATTAAATAAATAAATACACAAACATTATTTTCCACATATCAAAACACATTGAGGTTATTTATTTCATTTGTAAATCTTTTACACAAAATGTATTGATCATGTTTATAGCCACTTAAAACTGTTTTCAATTAACTTTACCCATTTCAGATTCTTTGTTCTGTGATTGCTTAATCACAAAAATAAGTGCATTAGTGGTGCCGTATGAATACTTACAGCGGGTACTAGAAGCTTCTTGACCTCCTCCATAGCCTTGGCCATTTTGACCTCTGCCCTGTTGAGAGTGTCCTCTACAGTTATCAACACATGGAGCTCTTCATTCAGGTGCTCCCAGTTAGGTTTTCCTCTGTTCTGTTCTTCCTATAATACATGATTAGAAATTTAGTCTCTGTTTCCTAATACCAACAGCTAAGATTTAAGGGAGCCGACTGGGGTTTTATTGTGTGAAAACTACAATAGAGAAACTCTTTAATTTTATACCCTATATACCTTACATTGACTTCAGTATACATGCCAAGTTTAGTGAAAATCTACCATCTGGTTATTTTTCAAGGAACGTCTCAAAATACAGGTACATTTACTATAGGATTATATAGGAAAATACCATTTTTTCGCACTTCGGAGCAAATTATACAAATACTACTATAGACTTTTTGCTCAAATTTTATTATTTGATGGGTAATACTATATTGTACATTTTGTGCAAGAAACACAAAATTCTACTGTCTGGTTTCCAGAGGGGGCATCTCAAAATGTCAAAATTCATGATATTTTCCTGTTTTTATGGAGTACAACAAAACATGACAGATACCACAGATTCACATAAAAAATAACAACAATGATTGCTATATTCACAATTTCCTATGTTTAAAATTTGAAGAGCATATATTTTATACTTTTTATTTTATGGCATAATTAATGACCCCGCTTAAAGAACTTCGGTTATTCATAACGTCAAAAACACACTATTACGACATCTTTCTACCCATCATTTGAAAAATCGTTAAACAAATCAGTTATTTAAAAACGTAATTAGATTTTTTAACCTCATATTTCCTAAATTTGTTATTTTTTTTTATAAATTATGTAAAAATAGTTGCTTTAAAAGAGTAAATACCCTTTATTTTACTATGCTGCGCGAAGTATTGCGCAATGAAAACCCCATGCAGTCGGCCCCCTTAACTACAAATTTACACTGTGCAACAAGTTGAACACATTTTTTATGTACATGTAACATTGTAAAAGATTCAGAGAGATCCAGAAAGATCAGAACCTTTAAGATTAGAAAAATCTGTTTCTGGAACCAAACTTATGCATGTTAATGAAATATCTCTGAAACTGCCTTTGATAATTTCTAAAAGAACAGAACATATGGGTCCAAAAGCACACATGCTGAGAGTCAGGATGTATGGTGAAAATATGTGCTGCATTTTTTTTTAGGTGGGACTTGAACTTTCATATCATCCTTTACTTGGATGAACAAAATCTTAAATTCTGACAAATATTTGATAAATAATTGTCAATACAGATCTTTTCACTCCGGACCTAGATATGAACTGAGCTGTTTGATCAGTGAATATTGATGGACACATTCAGTGCCAGGCTACAGAAGCTAGGGATCTCCAAACACACTTTTGAACATGCCTTCATACAATTTCTCTCATTAATCAATTGTCTGCATCTGTTATCCTAGAAAACTTTCTCAAAAAATCTGACAAACTTTTCTCCCTAATATATTTGGTTAAAGCCTAAAAATAAACTACTGTATATAATTAGACATGTCAGATTTTTGGGAATCCAAAAAATATTCAAAGTATTTACTCTTGTTTGATTTCTGATAGATTTTCTGTTTCACAGAAGTGCAAGACCAGATTGCAACTGATAAGTTTTCATATTACATGTATTATGTAGGGCTTGCAATTCACACAATTTAGAAATCACTGGACAGGTACCTTTATGAGAAAATGAATGTGCTAACAGTATATTTATTGCCACACTGAGAGTATGTATAGTTTCAAGAACAGCATACTAGTTAAATATATATGAAATCAAAATATGTAAGAACATATTTACCACTGTCAAAAAATCTTACAAGCAAAATTTTATCATCAAATTTTCAGATGGGAAAAATTGTTCTACTCTCCACAATATCATAAAAAGTGATAATCAGGTCAAGGGCAAAATCCACCAAATTTTTCTTTGAAAAAACACAATCAACTTATAGCTGAGTAATATCCATCAACAATACATGTATTTCAATTCAATGGATCTAGATACACATATAACGAAACATTCAATGTATATAGTGTAGTCTACAGATAGGATATATTTCATGACCTATATATTTGGTCTGCTTAGAAAATATAAAGTTCACCCTAAAATATTGGTTCAATGGGGATATCATATCAGAGTGTTTAATCATAAGCAACTAGATAATAAGGAATAAAACTCTCTTTAAAAGTGCATCAAAGGCAAAACTGCCAGTAAACAGAGCAGCACGAGAGAAATTCTTTCATGAACTAAGTTTTTATCTTCTTCCCTCTGTGGTTATCAAATAGATATAAAAACTGATCATTGCTGTGTCTGGGTAGGATCTGTCAATTCAATCTATAAATTCTACCATAACTCCTCAACAGCCAACTAGATCTGACAACCATCAGCAGCTAAATCAGGCTACAAAATCAAACTCTATATTTATAATATCCAACCTAACCCCCTCAACTGGTCAGTGTGTACTTGGTGTAAAGAAGAAATACCTGAATAACCATTTCAGATATGGTGTTTTTAAAGAATAGCCGATTCCAGTAATCATTGAAATACCTTTACGTTGTGGGACCATGTTTCAGGGAACGGACTTGCATTTCATTTTTTACGCATACTGAAGAACTTCATACACATAAACACCTTTAAACTTAAAATGCTTTATAAAAATACCCCTACATAAGAAGTGATGTCCAAAAAATTAATATTTCTGAAAATGAGTGACAGAATCTTCTTTTTGTGATATGCATGAATTGAAGGAAGACAGAACATCTGCAGGATTTAGGAGAGACATGTCGAAATGTGTAAATAATCGCTCTTAAGGGAGTTATAAAGGTATCATGTGCATCTGCATTTGATAAAAATTTTCTTAAAGAATTTTGTAATCAAATATTCGAGTCATGCTGGAATTTCATATCAAATCATGACTCATTTTTCTGCAGTATCATTCTCTAAAACAAGTGAAAAGAAAAGAAAACGCAACAGCTGTTACTAAGCTCTAAAAATACTATATTTACATAATTCTGTCCATCAGACACTTTGAGAAATTAACCATGCAAGATTGAAACAACTCCTTTCATCATCTAACTGTGACATTCTTTTTAGCTTAAATGTTCCTCAACATAAAAAAAACAAAAAAAACAAAACAAAAAAACAAAAAAAAAGTGAGAGTGCCAATCAGTTTTCCATGACATTAAATACAGGAGCTCTTTTAAAAAAAGAAATATATAAGCATTTGAATTTTCATCTACTGTCCTTGTGTATTTTTTGTTGTTGTTGTTGTTGTTGTTGGGGGGGGGGGGGGGGGCACAACTACAGTCATTGAAAAAGAGTGTCAGTCTGTGACCAAGAAATAGTTTCTTTTTTTTTTTTAAACATAGTCTGCAACGTAGAGTTACTGTTCCTAAGAAAGAGGTATTGTGTCTGATATGAGTTATGCCCCTTACAATCCTTACAAAAGAATTACAGCCCTTTACATCAATTGAGCTACAGTCCATGTTATAAAGATGCTAGATCCTTAAGCAATGATTGACATGATCGACATAGTTACACTCACTGAGATGAAGAATTACGAGTTCTTATACATACAGAGTTACAGCCCCTGACATACTGATGGGACTTTCTTACCTTCTTTTTGTCTCGCATTGAGCCTTTTCCTCGAACCATTATTTTACAACCTGTGTACTGTTCTAGTTCTTTTGCTGTCATTCCTCGAGGTCCCAATATCCTCCCCACAAAGTTAAACTGAAAACATATATAAACAAATATAATGTTTGATAATAAAAACATCAAAATATGCATTTCTGATACCATTTTTGCTTCATGCTAAAGTCAACAATAGTAATGTATTTTTTTTCTCATACAGTTCATATTTTCTATCAGTCTGACATAGTGGGTATATGTATGTGGTATGTCAAAATATAGAATATGCAGCCCTGAAATGTGTTTGCATCAAAGAGTATTTTTTTTCTTCTTGTGTGAGTGCCTAACAGCAATTCATAGATCAATTATGAAGTTCTTAAGCACCAATAAACATAATATGGCATCCATTAATTGATCCCCTGGGTTTTCACACAAATTCAAGAGGTCAGTACGGACAAGGCATCTAACAGCCCATACCTGCCAAATGATGCAAAAAATTAAGTGTACTGTCACCAATAAGTGTGTTTTTTCATCCCTTTTTTCCAAGAGTAATTAATTAAGCCTGAGTCTGACCAGATTTTCTGCTCCATTACACTCTATAGATAATGTAGCTAAAGCTGCATGCCCACATGTATTTCATCTGAGTCTCTCTGGTGGCCTTTAACATTAGTTCCCTGAATTTAATTAGCTAGTCCCCAGGTGGTGATTTCCCCTTGCTTGTATCATTAGCCAATTAGGAGGTTATTCACTGATAAGTGTGGAAAACCCTTCTTATCTCCTGAGCTGTATACACTAGATTTGAACTTTTTTCGGCTTTCAGGGTATTTTTTTTTCCATTTCAGTCTGTTAAAACTGGAAGAGTAACCAACCAAATTTCCTGGGAAAGTGTTTTATTTCAATAAAGAAATTCACTTTTAATTCTAATGTATACAGATGTCATTAATATTTCAACAGATAGGCCATAAAGTAGTTGCCTATGTACAACAGTAAAGCAAAATAGCTTTCCTTGTACCCCCTACCATGCATATTTGTAAATTTCAAATGCCAAAGAACATGATAAAACATTTTAACAATCTACAGCCCACCAGAATGACTCCCTTCCCCCTGTCTAGTACAAAGACATCTGTGTGCTCACTGTTTATCTCGGCTGGCCTGACCAGTGGGTGAAATTTCATCACCTCTCTTTATCAGTTCTCAGATAAATCTCTGTTTACATAGAGTCTGCACTTCTAAGACAATTAGCTGCTTCTGACTCCCAACAGACAGATAACTAGCAGCGCCCCCTACAGATAAAGGAACAGTGTACATCTCTCTAAACATCCCTGTCATTTCTCTTACTTGTAAGTACACTGCTGCTACAAATTCAAAGTACAAGTTTATTCCATTTACCACCCTCTCTCTCCCCTGGATCCATGTGAAGATGCTGATTAAAGATCAACATTTTTAGAAATTATTACAATGCTAAGAAACTTCTTTCTGTAAATGTTACTACTTTCTTAATCTTGGTTTAAAGATCTCCTGGAAAGCATTCCATTAATTACTTTATCAACCCCTTATTCCAAAATTTTCTTTAATAGGTTGGACAAGACATTAAGTCTGCAGAGTCTTTTAAACAGAATGTGTACAGATTCACTCAAAACCTGACTTTGCAAAAAGAGAATTCAAAGATGGATGTTTTCAAAGGAAAAAGTACACTAAAGATATAAACCACTTTGCCCTCCAGTCTTTTAAAAAATAATTTGCATCAAATTGAAATTTAAACTAAATTCCAAGCTCCAGAAAAAGCATTCCTTTTTCTACACCAATCTACTAATGACAATTGCATAGAAATGAAAAAAAAAATAAAAAAAAAAAAATGTCCCGATGAATCATAATATTCCTGGTTCAAGAGAAAAAGAAGCGATATTTGCAAATTGAGACACCATGAAAGCTAAAAATGCACACTCAGCTACACACAAAAATCAAACTGTCTCTCCTTTCTATGCACACCCACTCGTGCAATAAAAGCTCAATAAAGAAGTTGTCACGCAATGACATAACATGTGACCTGGCAGACTCGCAACTAGGAGGGGGGATATCTACACCACATAAACATCAAGTTCCCCTAACGAAGGGCGATGACATCAACTAGAAACCAGGAATACTAAATATTACACAGAAATTCTTCTCATTACATGATATGCTGAGGAGTAATGTTTGCTAAGGAATTAACCTGTACTTATATACAAGTACGCTACTCTCAAAAAGACTATCTCTGTATACACTGATGAGCTTTCAATTCAAAGAATGCATATATACAGCTTATAGCAAAGCACATCTAATAAGTTTATGATGGCACACATGTATGTATATTAAATGTATGGGGAATGAAAACCAAATGAATTCATTATATAATAAGCATATTTGCAGTAACCCTGTTAATGGCCCTTAAGTTATATCCATACTCCAGTTTTTTTTTTTAAAAACTGATTCCTTTAACACATAATACTTCTGCTCTGCTAAAAGAATACTGCAAAACAGTCGCAGCCATGCACTGGAATTTTTGCTCTACATATACACAGTTTATCAATTTTGTAAACTTTGTAGTTTTTTTGGGTTTGCATGTTTCTGTGCAAATAAACAGTATAATGCTGATCCAAAGTTCTTAGATTTCTTTGGTGGAATTTTAAGAATTGAGCGTGTGTTGTGTTGACTAAACATGCTGTTTATCATTTCTTAATTTTTGTCTTCTGTGCGTATTTTGTATGAATTTCTTTGAGGCCCCTACCTCTGGGTGTTCTTTGACTGGGACGTACAGCTTTTCCGACACTGTTTGGACAGGACCAATAGGTTCTGGAAGTTCAAGAGGGATGCGGCCATTGCCTTTGTGATGAAACAACTGAAGTCTGACTCTGTTGATTTCTGAAAGAAACAAAAAATACGGAAAAAAAATTAATGAGGATCTTATATTTTTGTAACTTTGGTTCCCTCCTTTGAACCGGCATTTACTTTCTTTGCCAAGTCAGCTCATGCTCGAACCAGAAAGACAGATGTAACTGACGTTTGTCTTTGCCGAAAAACAACAAAAAAATTTCTGTACAGCAAATTACTTCCAATTTATTCTCTGCATGGTTGAAATTATTAACTACTACTAACTATAACCTTCTGTTCCAATCAGACCTGGCTTTCTTAAAAGCCTTTCTGGCATTTAATGGAGTTTTTTTCTCTCAAAGAAACTTTGCTGCACTTATCCAACAAGAAACAGTAGATCTTGATGTTTTAAGTTTTCTTCTAATTATTTGCAATAAAGAAAATATTTACTTTTAATCCACAAACCAGAACACAGAATACTTCAATCAATGAGCATAATGAAGAAGATCAGAAATATACAAAAAAAAAGGTTTCTCAAGAGAAAAATATGAAATTTTACTAATCAGTTTTTTCCTTTCTGTTGATCCAAAAAATGAATGGCTTTCCATAATTAATGACTATGATGTACTGTTTCTCTTATCCTCCTGTCATACTCAATTAAATAATTCAAAAAAAAAAGTATCAATTGTGCGAAAGGGAACCTTTTTTTCAGGATTGAAAGAGAGATCCTTTACACCAAGGATCAGGAAATAGAATATATTAACTTTTTGTGGCCATACATGAAAACTTACAAAACTTCAATTAAAGGTTATGCACCAACTCAAAATATCAAAACAAGTTTCAAAACCATATTCATTTTAATAATAAATTTCCTGCTGAAAAACCATAAAGCTCTACTTCAGAACCCTTACAAGGATATGGTGAACTAAGAATTTGCAACTGAGTATAAAATTCTGGATCAGAGAGTATGTTCACTTCAGGAAACACCTTGACCAAATACTGAAAGCTGGCCTCATGACCTTATGGACCACCACAACAATGTAGCTTCACCTGCACCCAAAACCATCAATTAGAAACCCTTTAAATCTCAATCCTCTAGGATAAAAAGAAAGCATCCAACCCAGACAAGATAAAAGCTCTCGGCCTCAAATCTTTGAATCTTTCTTTTCATCTTTTTAATTAGCAGCTGATCTCCATGATTTTACAAGGAGCCCTCATAAAATGGATAAAAACCTGAAATTATGTGTAGAAAAAATATTATTGAAGTCAGCAAGACCCGGGTTATTCTTAGTTTAAAAAGTAAAACAGTATTTAATTTTTGTATTGAATTATTGAAAAACAAAGAATGAATTTTACAGGAATTTAACAGGCATTCATAATATGTATCGAAAATTTATTTTGAGAATGTTAAGGATGAATTCCTGTACAACAATTACTGTATAAGTAAAACAGATATATATGGATTAAACATGACCACCAGTGACAAAATGTAAACCTACAGATCTTCTGACCAATATCAGCCATCACATCACCAAGGCTTGACCTCCAAACATAAATCATATCGTCTGTACTTAGTCAATAAGCCACAGGATGTTTCCTATTCCGAAAATCCTTAATGAATATTCATGGTCCCTAGTCTTATCATTATTAGCACAATTAATTGGTGACATTGGTTCAATAGTGGGTGAAAACATAACAAATGGGAGATATTGAAGCCTGACTGAGTTTTTCGATCCTTCAGGGCCGAGAAACATCCTGTTCTGTCACAAATAAAACAGTAACCTTCAGAATTCTACAGAGGCCTGTACAAATATTATCAAATGTGGCTAATGAATGAATAAACAGAACATCAATTAACAGCTGTAGTATACCCATTTTTTTTAATTTTTCAGACAGTGAGAGAGGGAAGATTTTGTGTTTTCAATGTAAAAGCACTTGATTTGTTCAAATTGGAGAAATGCTCATGCAGTTCTCCACCATATCCACCATTATATAGAGGAAAAACAAGTTTGTTTAATCTATTATATCCAGTAATTTCCTGTTTTCTTTACTCTATCCAAGACTAAAAAGTTGCAATCATTTCCCATACCAATACAGGAAACCAAAAAGATGGTGGTTTTGGCAAAAAAGTGCTGACCTACAAACTCCTCAAAAACAAAAGTCATCCGACCTAAATATAACCAGGTACATCTACCTGAATGACATTAACGGTTCCCGCTGGCGGCTTGTCTTTGAAGAACCCCCCACGTGATGTAACCATTACAACAGTTACACCATCTCTCTATCTTCAAGCCTCTATGTACTTGCTGATTCTGATCTCTGACTAACTGTACCTTAGATAACAGCTGAAATTCCTTCACCCCTCAATGGTGATAAAACATGACACAGCCACGACTTGTCATTTCGGGAGCCCCCTGGGCAAAAATATGACAATCTTCACCAGGTTTAAGGATCATTTTTACTGCTGTTTTGGCACTGGTTTTATGTTCAATAAATCATTCTGCTGTTATTTTTGTAGTCATCAAGGTGTATGCTAAAAAAATTTTACACCTGAGATACACCTTCTTTTGCAATTAGAATTCCAGTGTCTACCATAATGTCACGGGAAAATGGGTAGACAGGTTACAGAACCTGGACATCAGAAGCTGATACTCTTTGACACCTAATTCTATGTTCTTAGCACATAGCTATATGGCACTACATGTGTTAATGTGGTGGAATCCATCTTTTCAATTGTTTACAATTTTACACTACATCAAAGCATGTTCCTCTTTTCTATGACCACACAGGAAGTGGTGATCAGCTGATTTTTAAGTAGATTTACATCAGTCTTACACCTTCGTGACACTGGTGGAGCTTCTTATCAAGTACTTTGAACAACTCATTTTTACAACAGTGCTTTCTACTATATGGTCTCACTATGTCAGAAAAGCTGAATTGTCTTGCACTGTGTATATAACTGAATTATAAAGAAAAATATGATTCCTTTACAAAATTCTCATAGTAAGCATTTTTAAAATGGAAAAAGAGTTGAGATTTTACATACAGTGTGAATGTAAAAACATGATATTTTTTTGCTCTTTTATTTTGGTGGTTGGGAGATTTCTGCTCAGACATCTGCAATTTCTAATTTTATATGAATATATGTAAGTGTTAAAGTATCATGTGTAAATGAATACATGTATCTATACATCACAAGTACTTTCCAGGAACATGTGACAAAACACTTAGAGAATGTCCCTAAACTGATACTGATTTGGTACTGACGTGTACCTACAAGTTTGTGGTCCCCTTCCCCTGTCTCTTTTGTTGATCATTAAGTACACTGTAATTGTGCACTTGACTTCAAACTTATTAATCTAGGCCTCCTACATTTCCAAGTTCTATACATATAAATATGTAATGTGTACTATCTACTTAGCTGTTGGGTTTAAAAAAGGATTAAAACCTTCCAAATAAAACTTAAAACTAGTTAAATTTCCACAATAATGATTTCTGTTGTGAAACAAAAAACAAACTTAGTATAAGCCAGTGACCACTAATTTTTTCTGAATACCCCCCTGCAACTAAGTAAAATCTGATAATGTTAGTAGGGATTAGAATTTGAGGTAACCGAGTCTATTGAAAACTGTTTTATATGTTAAATGCCAGGCACCCTTATTTCTTTATAATGCTTTTTCATCTGAAATCAAAACAATTCAACTTAAATACATTGCACAACACTTTTAATCTCCATGGAAACATTTTTAATCAGCTTAAAAATTAATTCAGTAAGTGCTGATCTTTGTGGGACCAATGGCATTATTTAGAGGAAAGATTATAGAGGGGAAAAAAAGACTGCTTTCCTATGCATAAAAGTCACAATTCTAGCAAATGTACATGGAAAAAAAAACTGAAGACAAGTGGGGGGAAACCATGAAAATTTTTGAATGTCAGTGAACAAATTGCACAAACAGCCACTGTGTGATGCCAGAAGTTTATTCTGCAATCCCTGGGAAAGCTTTTTTTTGTAAAATTTAAAACATCTGGAAGTTATTGGTTTCCACAGAGCTGTAACTCTATACCCCTACCCTGAACAAAGACATCTATTGCCAGCAGGAGTTGATAGCAATCTTAAACAGTCATGAACACAGAAATTGGCCCAAATTAAAGAAATCACCAAAATATCTTGACCCAGCCATAAAACATGACATATTTTTTTATACTCTTAAGCCAGGCCTAAAGTTTACCACGACTGATCTTCAGATGGATAAACTTTATTCCACAAGACCTAAATCTATCCAGTTTTAAATACAGGTTGGGCATCTGGTCTTGCCAAAATTAAAACCAGTCTCTAAACACTGATCCAAAATCCCTGCAATCTGGTTTTTTCAGCCATTTTCAGTTAGCATGGTTTGTGAATACAATTTCATCTGCAGGCCATTTGAACCCTAACAAACCCATACAAGCTAATGAGAAACACCTATGTTCACTTAACTAAAACTACTGGCTTGCTCCTCAGCAAATCACTACCACATTCTGTTATTGTGTTGGAAAACATCACTTTGCAATGGATTTCAATTGGAACATTCATGAACAAACACATTTTTAACACATGTTTGAAATCATCTGAAAATTTTCCCCCAATATGAGGATTTCAAGAATGTGGAAATAAAAAGCATTTCTAAGCTAAATTATCGTAATCCTTTTACTATCAATAACGAATGTGTGAAATTTTCTCAACAATTTGTGTGATCTACACTTTAAACACCTATTTCTCTCTCATTCCGAGTACAGTTCAATTACACACTGCATTTGGGAAATCAATATAATATGATGACATGAGTAAAGGCTACATCACAGAGCCCCTCGTGCAAAGTGCATTCTAAATTCAAAGTTTAAAATTAATTCACTTCCCTGCTATTAAATTACTACACTAGACACTTGAGCATATAAAATATTCAAATGATATACACAATTAAATCCCAACTCTATATAAAGATATGCATTTTCTTGTGAAACTCGTACCTGAATTTATCCTCAGTGGCATATCTGGGATAATTAAATTATCTTTATATGAACTTGACAATAGAGAGAAAATGATGTGGTTATTCTTTGTGTAAAGTTTTCACAATTTTTAACATTCAACGTCCATGTTGTCTGCCTAGAAATAATATGTAGTTCATTTCTTGAATATTCTCAAAATATTCAAATAAAGTGAGAGAATTCCAGCAATTATAATCTAATTGCTCTTTCTGACCCTGAAAAGGGTCTCAAAACCCTTAACTTTACAAGACTGCATCAATCATTGATCTTTTTTGCCTTCTACATTTATACGACTAGAATTTTGTATGCATATTTCTATAACCATGTTAAAGATAACTTCACAGCAAGAATGGTCCTGACCAAGACATCAGACTACTGTATTCACGGTATACAAACAAAGTGCACTGATTCATTCACTTTGCCAAACGAATCTATTGAGCTAATTGATTCTATCTCTCTACAAATGCGAACAATACAGAACCTAAACAAAGGCAATGACAAGCACAAACACTATGGAAGCGAGCATCGACACAGATTCCTCATACAAAAGCCCCCCAAGCCTGTCGGGCGTGTCGACGAAACCCCCTGCAAACAAAGCCCGTTGACTTTTGTAACCAATGCCTTGTAACATGAGAATCTCCATCGTACATCTATCTACCCGAATTTACCAATAAAATAAAAGGGTCACAAATGCCCCGATACAGTATCTTATTTGGAGACTCCCAAGATTGCTGGATAATGATTTCTGAACACTGGGTATTATAATTGTAACGCATTGTGTAGGCCTATCTAACCATGACTGGGAAGGTAGTCTTTCTCTGTGTTATTATTCGTCATGTTCTTGTGTCGATAAATAGACGTCTGTTATTTCAAACCAGGTAGATAGACCTCACTCCCATTATACACGGCCCAAGGAGGATGACCTAGCTAGCATCTAGATTTGTGCATTTCTTTCACATGGGAGCTTCTAAAACCTAATTCACATGCTCACAAAGGGGGTAAAGACAATCAGGGAAATATTTTAAAGATTTTGTCTAAGGTAGAATCTGATTAGGCTCTGTTTCAACAATAGAAAGGAACAGAGAGAATTTTTCCTGCTTCAAACCAACAGCCTAGATAACAATGGGCTCAATTTCAAAAGGGGTCAGACCAATTATTTCCCTGTTAAAATGATAAATGGACAAATACCTGCTTAAAAATAAAATTTCACACAACATATTCTGAAATTAAAACGCAAATTCTGTTTAAATTTCCTGGAATAGATAACCAATATATACATGATAAATTTCCATGAAATTGAACAGTGAAGAAAAAATTACATTATAAATAACTTTCTTGACTGATAATCGTATATAAACATTAGCATTTTTCCCCCTTTAGACAAGATGGAACATTTCGTTTTGAATAGAAGACTACCATCATTCAACAAGATAGCAATCTAGGAATATGCTAGCATCAATTTCAGACTTGGGACTCCCAACACATTCTGCCAAACATTTATCTTTGTCTCAAAATTCCTTCATGTCTCAAAAGAATTTTTTTCATTTTTCTAAAATTAAAAAAATTTGCTGACTAAAATCTTTTAAATAGGATTTTCCGTCATTAACCTGGTTATAAATCATCAAATACTCTCAGGAAGATCAAGTGTATGTTGACTTGATAATGAAAACCAATTTTCACAGCAAACATCTGGTTTATTGAAGACTAATTGAATTTGGATGTCCCTTGCAATAATCCATTTTAATAGGTCCTTGTTTCATTGAACTATGGTTTTTGTGAAACACACTCATGTTAAAATCCCTCAATCCTGTCAATGCAGGAAAAATACAGGAAAGAAAAATTTTCAAGTGCTTTTATTGCACATGAAACACAAGCATCCAGCGAGTCGGCTTTTTATAAAAATTAACATCCAAAGTATTTTTTAAAACTTTCCCCATACAGTGTGAACCTTGTGACCACTTAAATCAAATTTCTATGTAGTTTCCTGATGTGAAGTGAAATATTTTCACGATGTGGACAAAGTCTGCACCAATACCACATTTTCCTTCTCTGATCCATTTCTGCTGCATCTGTCACTGAACACAAACTTTACTCTGGGGCTTTTTTATGGTCTAAAAATCTGGATTAAATTATTAACATTTTTAAAAAGTTTTAAATGAGATTGTTCATACCTTGTCCTTTAGTCTGATCGTCCTGTTAGCCTTTAGACTAAGGGCTCGGTGTAATTGACTCACAATCCCTTTGTCCTGAGAAAATGTAGAGCTCATATGTAATTTGTCCATCTTCTTTCACAAATATTAAGTCGTAATTCCACTTGCACAGCACTTTCTGTTTTTGCAATTTATTTTTATTTTTTCAAAAATTTCTATCACAGGGGTACTATGCAAAAATTATTGTAGTGGGGGGGGTCATCTTGTTTTGTCAAATTCTGTTAGCTGATACCCATCAAGTGTTAGTATATGTCATTACTGATGTTAAGTATATAAATAGATATGTATACATGGTTTTAAACTCATGTCCACTGTGCATATAAAGAAAACCCAGCCACATTCAGCCAGTCAGATACTGTTTTGGGGGGGTGGAAAATAATTTGTTACATTAATAAAATGCTCATGAGAAAAACTGTTGAGTAAATATAATGATAAAAGACAAACTAGTCAACTATGTTAGAAAATTATGGCTGGAAAAATGGAACGACCATGAGTAATACAGCTGCATTCATATTAGGTAATTAATTAATATCCAAAAAAGGGTGCATGATGAAATGAAATTATATATACCGGTATGAATTAATATATATCTCTCTAGCCCAGTGCTCTCTGTAATTCATACACAAAACTGGCAAAATTACGAACTATTCAAAAAACACCGCTGCACAAACCGTTGAACCAGACAATCCAAAAGCACTCTTAGAAATTGTCACTTTATTAGCACACAAAATTAATTAAATGATATTATTACAGTAATCTAATGATGGGTTATAAAGGAGATCAGTATACTCCCAAAGCATCTCGTTAAAAGATTCTGTCAAGTGGGATAAAAAAAAGAGAAAGACTTTTGCATGCTGACAATACATGAATTCAGTAAAAATTACATTACATGATCAGTGCTACGTTACAAGAGGATTTTAGGTGGTCAGACAAGGGGGATAACTGCTGCATTAAAAAAGGTGCACAACTCCTCAAACAACCCTGCATATTTTTTTGCCACAGCTTGCTCACCAGGTATATATTATTGTCATAGCCAACTTCTGCCCAAGGATAAAAAATTGTGATTTCAAAAAGCAGAGAATCAGTGAAAGCATTGTGCACACCAAAGTGTGGTCATATTCTTCAATACAAAATCTAGTTCTTGTTAATTTGACAGCGCAGGGAAAGTCGGATTTTTTTTAATAATTAAAATGCATTTATATTATTCATAGAATTTATTAATCAACTGGGAACTTTTTTTTCATTGTGCCCAATTGTCAATTTTGCAAGTCAAAAGTATAATAATTATCAATTTCTAAATAATTCACTTTTAATTTTTCGGTAGGCGCTACTATATCAAATAAAACCGTTTCTCTGTCAACAATTTTAATCTGTAATATAAACACCTGTGCGAACAGGTGAGCTAATACAAAATTATTTATCGCCACCTTGTTTGAACAAGGATTGACGGATTCAGATAAGAAGAAAACGCGCCAAATTCACTTGAACAAAATTGGTGAAATTTTTGTCATTCATAGAATCGCAAAATAAAGATTATTTCTAGCAAACGCCAAAGACTGCTTTCTTTTTCATAAAAATGAAATTCCAGTTCTTTTTCGTGTGCAGTGAAGTGCGAGATTCAAAATGGCTGCCAAAAAATCACGGCACCCATTCTGAATAATTACTGCCAAAGTGCCAAATGAATCCTTTCTTTAATCGTTTTTAGTCAAGAAGTGGCATTGAAACTTATAAATGAATATTTGTATTCGTAATTACTGTATATTTTCAGTGCTGTTAAAAGGCGAATTCACTTTTGAAGCGAGTTTGCAAGTTGAGAAAGTTTTGTAAACATAACAGAGTTCACGGCTCAGCGCATTCGCTCGATTTTCTCTCATGACAAATACTTCCTCTTAATCACTCGAAAAAGGAGAAAATTTAGGCTGACTAAAATTTACACGACATAGAACTTGTTTAAACGAAACCGAAAGTTTTTTAATCCTCCAAGTTAAAGAAACTTACCTTCGTCTAAAAGTTTTTCTAAATGCACAAAAACGTTGGGAAAAGCCTGTATCTGCTTTTTGTCTTTGAGTAGCTGTGCTAGATACTCAGGAGTGTTACGCTCGTCTTTATTAGTTTCAGTCCCCATGTTAAAACAAGCGCCTGAGCTGCAAAACTACCAAAGTTAAGTAGGGGTTAGAATCCAAAACTACAAATCACTACAATAAGTTCTTATGTTCCCCCTCTATCATGTAAAATTGTTTATGAACACGTGCTAAGCATTGCGCATGTCTATGACGGATCACTGCATTTAGCTTATAAGGGGTGTCCAGGACGGTTTCACGTTTTTCCTCGAACTTGAAAGAGAACTTTCATCGCTCTGAATTCTGATCGATTAATATATCCAGCATAGTATTATGAAAGTTTATTTATTTTAAATGAAAAGATTGCTGCAGATCTAGACGGATGCAATGAGAAAAGTAGGGGAAGTTGACACCCCACGCCCGAGGAATGCAGGGATTTGTTGACATCTGACAGGTGATCGAGAGGTGGACCTTACGACAGCGTGATGCACTAACTCAATATTTTCTTTACAAATCAGAACTCATATTCCATTAATCAATTACACGGGAAAGACATGTTCTAATAATATGTAATTAATTGACTCATTTTAAAGGCATGCGCTGCAATGTGATTTATTTGATTCAACATTTATCGATCCGCGCCTGTGTACCTATAGCATGCTTGGAATAATTTTAAGTAAAGTATATAAAACGGATTAATTTCTTTTAAATCTATCTTGGTTAATCCGGTGTTAAGTATTGAGTTTTCAATGACCTTTTTGTGTGTACTCTAAATTAATAAATACTTGTGGAAAGAAATTTAAAAAGTTGCACGACGATTAACTAATTAAGACCTACATTGTGTTGGATAAATCCAGCTATCCCACGCTAACGTTGACCTGTATAACTTATTTAATTCTTAGGTATAAACAGATTTTAATACCTATATTTATCAAGATATAATCTTTAAAACTTTCATTCAATTTATGTTACACTGAAAAACATTTTTATCATCTTAAAAAAAATAATTATCCAACATATAGTGTCTGAAAATAATTTAAACTTAGAACTACATATTGTGTCATTAAATCTTTACCACAATAATAACTCTATAAAAAACATGATTTATATTAAGAACAAAGTAGAGCCTACATTCACAGGAACTATTTCAAGTTGCGAGAAAAAATCTGTTCACGCACCGTTGAAAAAAAATTTGGGGTCATAAAAAGCCGATAAAATCTTGACATGAAGAGAATGAAATATGACAAGACCTTGTCTGGAATTGTCACGTGTGTATAAAAAATTCCTACAGAGACTGTATTAGATGAAGAAATGAAAGATTTGTTCCAATATTTAATGGGGGCTAGTTATGAGATAGAATCATAGTCCTAAGTACCTTTACGCTCACATGTATGACACAATCAATATATAAAAAAAAAAAAACCAACAGGGCCCTTAAGAAAATCTCAATACAAAAATAAACAAGAATTTTTTACTTTTTCTTAAAACGTGGGTATAGGAATTATAGTTCTCTAAGGCACACATGAACTTGTTCCCTGGGCTACAAGGGGTGATTTTGGGATAGAGCTGTGCGTCTAAGATATTAATTGTACCCCGAACTTTTACATACACTTGTAAATATATATTATGCATATACTTCTCCAAGACTTGGTCTGTCTTTTTTGTAATGGCAAGAAAATATCTGTTTTATAACACAGAACTTCAAAATCTGTTTCTAGGGGTGGGATGTCGCCCCCTCCCCTCTTCCCAAGACGGTGATAGTTCTGCTATGACTGACATATAGGATTATACAGACCAAATAAAGAAGTTCTTGATTGTATGTAGACGATGCAAGATTTTTGCGTCAAGACTCGAAGATCTGTTTAACCAAGGAATTCTACTATTATGTTGTATCTGTTGAATCGTCGATGAATTCCTGATCGTTTTGATAATCAAAAATTAGTGAACTGTTTTAGATCGAATGCAGATAGTAGCACTTCAGTGTAGCCTATCTTTGGTTTGTTCTCCAAAGAATCTACATGTATTCAGTGGCGGATCCAGGATTCTTGAAAAAAGGGGGGGGGGGTTTGTAGTCGGGGTAGGGGCCCAAAGTCCTTTATTACCAAAAAATTTGGAAACCCTACAAATGTAGGTCACCCTCTATACAAGCTTCGGGTTAACTTGTGCGCTTAGAGCACGCAGTCACCCGAAGGGGTTCCAAGTTCCGAAAAAGAAGATTGCCCATTTAAGTTTTTGTACTAACAGTTTAAAGTTTACACAATTTACAAAATTTCTACTGATTAGGCCTGCAAACGTATACTCTGTTAAATATTTTAAGTTTGTTATTTTATGGGTATATAAACACGTGTACTTCCTTTTCATCAAGCGCAGAAGTGCCTTTTGAACATTGCATGTACGAGTGTCGTGACACTTACAAATGATACTTAAGCTGTCTAATGACAAGGACGTCATCTTTTTCCTTGTTGATTATATACAATCAAAGTGAGTTTCAAAATCTTCCTTATAGATTAAACGGACAATAGCTATGGAAATATTTCATTTGAGAGAGAGAGAGAGAGAGAGAGAGAGAGAGAGAGAGAATGGGGATTTTCATTTTGGAGATGGACTGGGTATAGCACCAAGTTCAACAAAACTCAAATTATTCATAATATAGTATGTAGTGTTGTATAGTGTCTGCAGCTGAATATTCCATTTACTATCAGATATGGCAATATTGCATTTTGCAATGCATTAGATAACTGAATATATGATTTACATTGAAAAATTAAATAGAATGTATATATGTACTCATCAGCTATTTTAACTGCAATTGGTGATGTATTTATGGACGATTAAGCCCCTTGTTATACCAGTATAGTAGGGGTTTATGTCGCTGAGTTAACAGCACGATGTAGCATGCACATTTTCAAATAATTAATCAAGTTTGTAAAGGAATCCAGACACGTCTTAAATTTATTAGAACTCTTCACCCGTAATTAATGAAGCACTGATATTTGGTCAATAGCTGGTATTTGACAACTTATTACGAGTGTTTCGGCAGTATGAAAAACACATGTCATTTTTAATAGTTAAGGTACAAAGAAAAGTAAATTTCTATGAATTAGAATTTATAATTGCAAACAAATGATACGGTTAACAATTATTGTTAAAGTTCATATTGCAATACACAGGTATCTAGTTTTCTGTAGATCACTGAATTTTCGCAACACCTTATTTCCACGTAATTGTTATTTAGTATGTATAAACTATAGAAAAAATTTTCACGAATTCGGTTAATATACGCGAAAATGAATTTTCACAAGTAGACATTCTGGCGTTGGTACACGAAAAAATAGTTCTCGCGAATATATAGTGATTTACAGTAATTAAAATATGATGAGATTCATGCACAAGTGAGGATGTTATTCCTTCGTTTCACTAAGTCTCGGAAAATTTCAATTATTTACCAAGTCTCGGAAATTCTTGAGTGTTCACCAAGTATAGGAATATCTCGAGCATTCACCATGTCTCGGAAGTTTTCGAGCGTTCACCAAGTCTCGGAAAATCTCGCGTGTTCATTAAAAGTCGCAAGAAAACATGCATGCATGTAATAGCTAAGATTTTCCTTCTAATTGCTTAATAAAAAACTTCTGAGATTCTCTCTTTATTTTAACAGAGATTATTTTATTAGACATCAAAGCAACAACGTCAAAATTTCGGTGTTCGTCAAGCGTTCGACTGGATTTCAGTTAATATACTTGTTACTGTCACATTTTTAAGTCGTATTTGCAGATATCATTTTTTTTGATATATTATATCTTTTTTTTTCATCTATTTATCATTTTTTTAATATGTAAATTTCAGATTTACTATTATGAGGAATTACAGCATTGGTGGACTTGAGAGGATCCTGAGAGAATTTACTGGCTGTGAAACTTTTGAAAGATAGTTGGTTAGCTTAATAAAACATGTATAATGAAATAGATCTTGTATGTATATATCTATTATTGCATATATCTATTAGGCTGTCTGGCATTCTCCTTAAAATTCTTGAATTATATGCAAATGTTTTGAAAAACTCCAATTTTTATAAACGCAAGCGGTGGGATATATACTCGTAGCAGTATATCGATATATAATACAAAGCGAAGTAGTATATTTATGCAATTTGGATTTATAATTCAAATAAGCGTTCTTCAGAATATGCGTTTCGAGAAATGATGTCAATTGTATCTTTTTAAAATCAATTTTATCTAAAAATGGATTCCATCGACTATTAACCTTTCCATACGAAGACAAAAAAGTTCCATGTGCATCTTCCATAAATATCCAATACAAAGAAACTCAAATCGAAATGGCCAATTTTCTCAGCATTGACAATGAGATACAGTGCATAAAAGTGATTCATCATCAACCTCCCGGAGAAAGCCCTAGAATTGTTTTCTTTACTCGGTCACATTTTCCATAGTATATTAATTTACATTGACGGAAAAACTATAGAAATATATAACAGGAAGAAATAGATTCTGTCAGTTCTGTCTGTCAAAAGACGGAACAAGAAACCGTGTTCTTTGGATTTTGCTCTCGGCAAATCCAATAACTAGCCTCCAAGACATTCCCAAGCCTTAAACATACGGTTTTAAACAAATATATTCAGGGTTCCACGTCTGGGACCAGGGTCCATTTTACCATATGGCCCTTTGGGAAAACGGTGCATGTTATCGCGTGCAGGATATAGAACAGGACAGACAAAACTGTTACAAAACAGTTAATTACATTAGGTAAAACCCCGAGACGCCCCGAACTAACCAATGAAATTCTAAATTAACTTTGATGCTAAGTCCCAAAAGGTTTAAGCTTGCATAAAAAACAGATATCGACCTGTTGATTAATGAACTTTCATGATAAAAACAACTTCCATTGGCTGGTTTTATCCACTCATCAAAATTCCGAATCTTTCAGAAATGGATAAGAATAGTAGAATTTGCCGGATAACGTAATAAAGTCACGTGATTTGATTCTCTAAAATGATTATCACCAAGTTCGTGTGAATCACTCACTATAGATAAATAACCCTCTCTTATAATGATTAATGAAGAGAATAACTGCCTTTATTTTGCACACGCTCTGTCGCTTCCAATATGTCGGAAGAACAATATTTTCCAGAGCCTCATTGAATCAGTTTGGTAAAATAGGACAATTCCTGATTAGTCCAT